CCAGGAGAATCAGATGGTTATTTGTTAGCAGAGGAGTTGAGACAGCCCCCCTCCCCATCTAGGCTGCCTGAGCCCCTTTCAAGGCCTCCAAGTAGGGCTCATGTGGTCCTCAGGGAACAAAAGGGCTGATATCATGAATGAATTCAACACACTATTGATGCAGCTGCCCCTTTCCTGGGGGGTGAATCCGTATAAGGGTGAGCCTGACTGGGGCAGTGGGGATACTAGACAGGGGGTGAGGATTCTCAGCCTGTCTTCCGCTACCTAGTTACGTGACCCTGTCTTCAGCCTCAGGTTCCTTACCTGTAAAACGGGGATAACAAATCTTTCCTATCCCTATATTCCTCACCCAGTTGTTGTCAGAAACAAGTGTGATAAGCGACTTTAAAATGAACCGCAGATAAAAAAATACTAAAAATAAATATAACACTATTATGGAGAGACCATCTGTCTCCCCAGTGTCTACCACAAGGCGAAGTGTAAACAGAATGAAGTTTTTTTGGCCTGAGGCCACTAGTCCAGAAGAGCATGTTTTCCATTCTGAGGGACTAGGGACGAAATGGGGTGAGATGGCCGTCCTCCTCTGACAGCCTGGCACCTCACCATATCCTTCGTTCTGCCTCCAGCCCCTACTATCTCCAACCCCTGAAGAAAGCCTAGAAGAATCTGTCCGATGCCTTGAGCACTCATAGATCTGGGTTCCAACCCTGCAAGTCTCCAGTTGCTTAGCTGGATACACTTGGGCAAACCTCCTACCTCTACTGGGCTCTGGTGTCCTTATCTGTAAAATGGGCATATTAACACCTTCTTACCGGATTGTTTTGAGGGCTAAATGAGTGAATGTGTTTAAAGTGAGTGCTCAGTGAACATTAAGCTGTTGTTGACATATTTTCAAAGTAATTAGATCTCTGTCCCTCTAGCTTGGCCAGAGGGCAGCCCTGCCCTTCACCCAGATGCAGGGATTCTTGTAGGTGGGTACTGGCTTCTGGATTTTCCCCAGCTTTTCCACACAGAGCAACATCTTCCCTTTGGGGCCTGTGAGACCACCATTGGGTCTTAGAACCAACGAGTCAGAGAGACCATAGGAGCCCCCAGTCACCTGGTAGAAGGCTCACTTTGTCTTTTCAATTCACTAACCCCACCTGAAAGCCTTTCTGTAGCGGGTGAGGGGATGCTGGCCAGGGAAGGCACAGTCTCACCTCCTCAGCTGGCTCTGGAGCCCCCTGTGATCCGTGACTTCCCCTCCCCAACCTTTTGCACCTGGCTTTTTTGCCCCTTCCAGCCTTGACATGCTTCCCTCACCTGCCCAGTAAATGGGGCTGCCCACTGGGGAAGGGGAGGAGGATTGCAGAGCTTGGTGTTCAGCCTGTCCTCTCTCTGAGCACATCAGGACAGACAGCTGTGGGGCAAGGGGAGAGGAGATCTAGAAGGGATGGGGAAGGGCCCAGTCCAGTGCCCAGGGCAGGCGGATTAGCGCGTGAGAGGAAACATAAGCACTTTGGAGCTATCTTGGGGGAACTTTCTGGGATGTTCCCTATGATGTGGTTGCCGGTGCTTGTGGGGAAGAAGGGGGTGGGAACGAGCACCTGAAGGAACAGGCTGGCCCATCTGAGACACTCTGGAGCTCCTCCACCAGACGGTTCTTGTCCAGGAAACCACACAGCCCTTCTGCCCAGCTAACACTGCCCTGAGTCCTGGGCTCTTCAGTCCCAGCATGGGTGACTCTCAGGCCCCTGATTCAGGCTCTCAAACCCTGGCTGACTGTCAGGAACCCCTCAGGTATTAAACAATAGATTCCTGGGCTCCATCTGGAAGGTCTGGAGTGAGGGGTCCAGGCATCTATATTTTTAGTAAGCTCCCCTACCCCCCTGAATCAGTCAGGACGGGGGAGATTTTGAAGATCAACCACATTCGGGGACCCTGATCTGCCCATGCTACCTGCCCTGGGAGAACACTCTCTCTGCTGTTGCAAAGTTGAGTAAGTTGGGGGGAGAGAGGGGCTACTTGGAAAGGAGCCCCATTCAGTGACCCACTTTAGCTCCCCCGTCCTGACTGATTCAGGAATTACTGTCTTTTTGCCCTCTGCCACAAGGATCCCTTGCCAACCTGGGATGATTTTGAAATTGCTTTAAAGAGAAATCTTTTCTGGCTCCCTGCAGAAAAAATAAATGAGTTGCCCTCCAGAGCTGGGAATTACGACCCCCAAGTCTTGGAAGCTGGGTTGCTTTCTTCCCGTTCTTTCCAAAAGCCAAGTGCTTTGGACCAGAGAAGGAAATTCAGAACTACTGGGAAGATACTGTGCAGGTTGGAAAGGCACTTTTTTCTCCCTCCTACCCAATTAAGTTCTGAAGAATGAAAAAAACCCTTCCAGTGCTTGCTCTGGTTCATCTCCTCCCTCTCGGCCTCAACTCAGGACACATGATTTTCTTTCGGCTCTGCCATCTCAGTGGGAAGACGCACTTTCTCTTTGCTCTTCCAGCTGAGGAAGCTTGTGAGAATGTGAGAGACAAGATGGAGAGAGAGAGAGAGACAGAGAGACAGAGAGAGACAGTGTGTGTGTGTGTGTGTGTGTGTGTGTGTGTGTGTGTCTGGGGGCGGCCAGGCTGTGCTCTAGCTCTGCATGTGGGATGCAGAGTGGAGCTGAACGGACAGGACACCTTCCTATCATGTGTGTGTGTATGTGTGCGTGGGCAGTGAACACGCAGCCTCCCTGTGACGTGTGTGTGCCCCTGTGGCGGGGTGTGACAACATGGGAAAGGTGCAAAGAAATGGGTTCTAGAGTCGGGTTTCCATAGAAACACCTGCTGTGTAGGAATACCGTGTGCAGCCTAACTCCCTGTGCTACAACAAACCTCTGAACCGAGAAAGTTGAACTTTTGCATCAAGCAAATACATGGGCACAGAACAAGGGAGAGAAGGTAGAGGAGGAGGGTGCAGAGGAAATGTGGAAGACTCATTGGAGCTCATTTGGAAGACGTCTTTCCTACATCAAAAGGAGAAAAGGTGGGAGGAAGGAAGGAAGAGAAATGGATCAGTAAGGTCAGTTGGACAGAGTAGGAGGAAACCTGCTGGAGGAAGGGGTCTTCCCCCCCCATCTCCCCCCTGGGCTTACCTGCACACACCTGCCTCTCCTCTCAGCTGTGAGTTTAGTCCCCCGGCAAGGCTCCCCCTCTTCCTCCCCCACCCTTCGGTGGAGCTGTGGCAGCAGAGAGCCTGCTAGAAGTTCTGATCTCCCAGTGGTGCCTGCGTGCTTGTGTTTGCCTGACTTTTCCTCTACCAGATCCTAGCGGGGTGGGGAGGTTAGGTTAGGGGGAGGGACAGGCAGATTGTAGGGAGGGAGGGGAAGGAGAAGGGAAGGGAGGGAGGGAGGAGGGAGGAAGGGAGGGAGGGAGGGAGCTTGGGAAAGGAGGAATGACAACAATAAAGTCTTTATTTGGCAGCCAAAACTCCCAAAGACTTCATCCACACACCATGCCCACTAACGGACTCGTTTTTAATAACATTTCCTTCTGCTGCTGCTTCTGGGGGGAGATTGTTTGACCCATGTTTGGAAAACAAGCCAAATTAACAGAGGAAAAAGGCATGAAAAGCAACCTCTGTACAGGCCAGAGCTTCATAGCTGGGTCCAACCCCAGCCTGTCCTATTCCTCCTCCTCACCATTGCCCTACTTCTGATGCCTATCACTTCCCTGGTGTGAAATTCCCAAACCAGCGAGGGGTGTGGGATGTTTCCTCCGAACAGTGACCATCCTGCCCTTCCTCACCTTCTCTAGGAGGGTTACAACAGAGTAGAGTCTTGCTGGGCAGTGAGCTGGCAGGGAGATGGCCTTGTTTGGCTGCTGGAGGGATGCTCTGAGGACCAGAGAGGGAAGAGTCTGGCCTGGGGGTCACACAGTAAAGGCAGACAGAATTAAGATTTGATGTAAGACCTGAAGTCTCTGTCCCTAGCTCAGGTGGACAATATCAGTGTCTTATTTCAACTTCTCTGTACATCTCACACTCGGGAGAGATCTGGGGGCTGTATGGTCCTCACACAAAATACATGAGGAAATCCAAAAGCCCCTTCTCCATGTCATCCCAGAAGACCCATTCAAGTAAGACCATCACTCTCCAACAATCCCCCTTAATTAAAAAGCTGCAACACATTTGCAGCTAAGTAGTGCCCAGCAAAACTTCCTGCCGCCTCAGGCAACTACTTAGAAAACTCAGTGTTTACTTTTTCTATCATCCCAGATAGAGCCATGGAGGCAAGTGACAGTGAACTGCTTCCACCCGCCTCCAATCTGGGGTAGAGGAAGGAACCCTGACATTAGGGTCAGCTGCCCTGGGCTCCGCCACTTACAAGCTATGCTATGTTGGGCAAATCACTGGATCACGTGGAGCCTCTGTGTCCTCATCTACACAATGAGGATGATACCTGCCTCACAGGGTTGGGAGGGTTCAATGATATCATAAATAGGGGGGGACACTTTAGAAACTGGGAAGATGTTCGGGTTTAGGAGAGAGATGATGGTGCCTGGGAGTCAGCCTAAGCAATGGAGAAGGAAAAATAAAACCCACTTCTTCTCTTCCCACCCCGTTTCCACCCTAAAGCTCGTGCCTTCCACATCCTGCTGGGGAGGTCTTGCTGGAAGCCAGCACAACTCTAGATTCATATTAGCCCTGGAGGTGCCAGGCCACTCGTGAATTTTGTTTTTCATCTAGATGGGATATGTCCCCTCCTGCAGACTGAGCCCATCAGCCCCTAGACTTGCTTGTTTCCCTTGGTTTGCCAGGTGGTAAGGAGAGTTCAAGAAAGATGAGCAAGATACATGAAGCAGAGGGAGAGCAGGCGGGGCGGGAGAGGGGGGAGAGGGGAGGAGCCATGGAAGGTTGTAGGGGGAGGAAGCACTGG